ATATAATTTTCTCAAAGCAACTGTTATTTTAAAAACAAAAGCTCTTATTTAAGAAGAAGAGAGATTTAAGTACAAAAAAAAAGTTTGTCAAATATATTAGACGATTGTACTGAAATGGCGAAAAAAAATATTTCGATATTTTTATCGTTGTATTTATCGATACATTTACCGAAATGGTTTTCGATATACATAATTATCGATACATATTCGATTTTGTTAGTCATGTAACGGTCGATATACCCTCCAATATCTTGTAGTTATCGATATAATATTCGTTTTAACGTTATGCAAAAAGAAACTTAACTGGTTAATTGCTGCCAGTATTACCAGAGTAAACTTTATCCCTACTTAAAGGAAAAACGTTTCATATCAAAACACCTTTTAACACATAAAAATAAGCAAATTAAAATGCTTTGAGCACTCTCTAAATTTTTTTTTATTTCAAAATAAAAAAATTAGGGGTATATTTTTTCGGTATAGAACAATCCTAGGGGGTGAGAGCATAAAAGTTCCGACTTTACTTTTACACATGTATTTTTGGACCACCTACAATCTACATACATTTGCCGAAGAAACGCCTAAATTTTTTGTTTAGTGTTTAAAAGCAAAATTTGTAAATTAAGGACACAAACAAATGTACATATACGTACAAATGTATGCATGTGGGCCTAAGTTGCAGCAAGAAGGTAGTATGTCTTGTGATTAATTATGCGCGAAAAAATATGTATTTGTAAAAGAAAGTTAAAAGTTTACAAATCAGAGCATAACTGCGAAGCGCCAATTGAACGAATGGCAAAATAGGCATGCAATCTATGCACATAAAAATGTATGAGCAGATGTAGATATTTATGAACACAAGTATGTATGTATGTATGGTGAATAAAACGATAAGTTTGCTTAAACCAAAATACAGAGATTTTTTCTAGCACTAATCGTTAATCTAGTATCTTAAATATAATGCATATATCGCACAGCTTCTTCAAAAGGTGCACAACTAAAAAAAAAATAAAAATTAGGCTAATATTTTTTTTGCATAAGTCAATTAGTAGGATTTATCTAAAATGAATGAAAACCAGAAAACTACTAGTTATTATAACGGGTGATTTTTTTGAGGTTAGGATTTTCATGCATTAGTATTTGACAGATCACGTGGGATTTCAGACATGGTGTCAAAGAGAAAGATGCTCAGTATGCTTTGACATTTCATCATGAATAGACTTACTAACGAGCAACGCTTGCAAATCATTGAATTTTATTACCAAAATCAGTGTTCGGTTCG